TACCAGGATCAATTCCTGATCAAGAGGAAAAAGCACCCTCTACAAATTTATCTAAGAGAAAGGCTAAAGAAGCACCCTCTACAAATTTATCTAAGAGAAAGGCTAAAGAAGCACCCTCTACAAATTTATCTAAGAGAAAGGCTAAAGAAGCACCCTCTACAAATTTATCTAAGAGAAAGGCTAAAGAAGCACCCTCTACAAATTTATCTAAGAAAAAGGCTAAAGAAGCACCCTCTACAAATTTATCTAAGAAAAAGGCTAAAGAAGCAGCATTACTCCCTAGGAATAAAAATAAGAAAAAAGGTCCAAAAGTAAAAGAAGAAAGATCATCCATACAGAATTCAAAACCTAAAAATCATCCTAAAGCTGAAATTCAAAAGGAAACAAAAATTTCAACTAAAAATGTAGGAGCCATTGAAAAAATTCACAAGCATAATTTTGGGAAGCATACTAAAAAGCGGAAATGGAATTCCAGTACCAAGAAATCTAGGAAGAAAGCATCCATTCTTATGTCAACCGATTTTCACGAAGAGAGTATTCCTGAGGTAAAGCTATTTTTACTAAGTAAAGTTCACCTATCGTCTAATGAAAAAGAGAAGATTCAAACCAGTCAAAAATTAGCAAGAACAAATCCAATTAAAAATAACATAAGAGTCAATGAAAAACTTAGTCCTGAATTTAAGGGTCCATACGAGGTCAAGAAAATATCTGGCAAAAACGTTTTATTAAAAATCCGTAACAAGGAAGTTACTTATCACAAAACCGTGTTCTGAGTAGTTGATCTAAAGAGAGAAATCCAAAATAATAATAATTTAATCCTTTTATTTTTCCCATATAGCTAATCATCATTTATTTTATTATTAATCCATTCATTCTTTTCTATGTACCCTATATAAAATTCTTGTATTTTTCAGAACTTATGTCAATTTTGTTTCGAAATTTCATGTCTCTTGATTTTATTCTTTTATCTTTACTCTTTATGTAACATTGTTCACTAACGAGCATTGCCTAGGAAAGGTTCTACTACTTGCAGCTATAAAGCTTAAAATTATGTTCCTGATAAGAAGTCAATGTGAAGAGATTCAACAGTCTACCATACAGAAGACATAGCACCTACTACTACTCAAGGAGTCTCAACCTGGACGGAACCATTCAGAACCCGACATAGGAAACTGTCAAATCCGAACAAGAGGAGAAAACAAATTCTTTTTTCAAAATAATTGTTTTCCGTCTTAAGGGGGGAGGTGTTATGATCCCGTACTCAATATTCACATTTTCAACTTTTTATAAACAAAAGACTGGCGACGAACTCAAATTGTTCTTCTTTAGAAGCGAAGCTTCTAAAGACTCCTTCTTTTATTTTATTTGCAAGTGTTTGCTCGAACATTCGAAACAGTTGACTGACGAAAGACCAAAGTAATATAGGCAAGCTACACAGCTTGGCGTTGGTTCATTTGATTTTTAGTCTAGCTGTAATAAGTTCTTGTTTATTAATATTAGTTTTGTGATAGTTTTAAGTGCTTGTTCATTACTTACAAAATAAAGAACGAACCGAATATAACAATATATATATAATTCACGAGTAATATGTACCCTCACGAATTATTATTATTATCATCATCATTATTATTATTTATAAAAAAAAAAATTTTTTTTAAATTCCATTTTAATATTGAAATAATTTAAAAAAAAAAAACAATAAAATTTAATTTAATTCAACGCATTGCAAGCGTTTGGTAAAATATAATAATAATAATAATAATAATAATAAATAATAATAATAATAATAATAATTTAATTCGTATTTATTCGCACCCTTAATAATAATATAATAACAATAATTTTTTTTTAAAATTAATATTAAAATACTATATTATAAATAAGAAAAATAAAAATAATAAATCCCACTACTATATATATTTACAATCGTTGTATTATTATTATTATTATCGTTGTCATCATTATCATTATCATTATTATTATTATAAAGAACAAAAAAATTATTTTTACAAAAATTATTATATCACAAAAATTGTTACATTTAAAAATATACAAACAAAATGTGCGCGTGTATGTACATACATATATGTAAATTTTTTATTAAAACCTTAATAATAATAATAATAATTAATAAATAATAAATAATAATAATGATTTTTTTTTTAAACGATAAGAGCCGCCATTAATTTTTTTATAATGAATAATAAATCAATCGATAAATAAAAATTGAATAATAATAATAATAATAAAATTTATTTAATTTTTTTTTATAATTAATTAATTAATTAAAAATTCATTTACATATCTCTCCTTAATATTAATTTTTTTATCGGGGTGAATCGTTTAATTACACACACGCACACACACGCACAAAAAGAGAGAGAGAGAGAGAGAGAGAGAGATAGAATTTACATTAAACATTTTCGGGATGAGCCATTCATTGTAAAATCAAAGGTAGCATTGTTGATAGCCGAAGTAAAGGATGTATCATCTTTCAAGGATGGCATCACAGCTGAAATTGAAAATAATCAATAACATTTCACACAGCGTTGAATTATTTATTACAATTAAATGAACATACATGGTCGCGTGTACCGTTATTTATTTATTTATATATAATTAATTAAATTTATTTTTTTTTTTTTTTTTTAGTAATGGATGTTAGATTTTACCGTCGGCCCATGTATAACTAGAATATCTCACATCAGAATCCTGCCTTCTACTACATGATGAAAATCCGGATGTAAAACTGCTAACGCCAACAGGTGAGGGTGATCCACTACCTATAAATAGGGAAAGGGGGGTGGGTGGGGGGTTGAAATTATGTTAACAACAAACGAATTCGAAATAATTTTTTTGTTTTGTTTTGTTTTGTTTTGTTTACCTAAAGAAGTGCTTAATTGATTGTAACCGTTCATCGAATTTGTAAATTGATTATAACCGTTCATTGATGATATTTGCATTGATTGAACGGGTTGCAATTGAGACGTTAACTGAAAACAAATTTTTTTGGTTTTTATTAAATCATCCGGGAAAAACTCAATCGGGGAATTTTTTCGTTAATTTTAAATTTTTACTCACGGTTGTAGGCAATTGAGCATATGGATTAAGTCCTGGACTTCTAACTTGACAATTTGTATAACCCGGAATTTGTGGATTTGATATATTTGTGGGTAAATTCCATGGCGTCGGACTAAAAAACAAACAAACGAATTGTTATTCTGTGTTAAATTTTTGCTCAAAATCGAAACGGTTAACGCGAATTGAAATTTAATGGCGGAGTATGGATGTGTGAGTGTGATAGTATAGGGAAATACGTTTAAAAGGTGTTTTATACCTTCCGTAAGAGGTGTACCTTGCTGCGCTATATAAATTTCTATGTCTAAATTGTAAATGACTCGGATATGGATCCCCAAAAAATGACTTTGGATATGTTGGAGCTGATGTTTTCAATGGTCTCCTCATTCTTTTTCTTCTCTTGTAATTATTATTTTCAAACATTTTGCTCGGGTCCATTGCTGAAAACAAAAAAAAAATTTTAATTAGTTTTTTAAAAACGCTCTCTCGTAAAATTTAATTATCGTTTTTCACAACTAATTTTAAATTTAATTATTATTTTAGACAATGGTCAATCCGAGAGGGGTGGAGTGGGGTGGGGGGGAGGAGGAAACTCACTTAAAATCCAATAATTTCCTTTTTTCTCTCCACCGCCTTGTCTTGGAACTTTAATAAAACAATCATTTAACGATAAATTGTGTCTTATTGAATTTTGCCAGCCTTTTTTTTCTTGATCTCTAAAATATGGAAATTTTGTTGTTATAAAATTATATATTTCATTTAATGTTGCCCGTTTTTCTTTTTTACTCGTGATGGCCATTGCTGTGAAAAAATAACAAAGACATTAATGACGATAAATTTGAGTGACATTTTATTATTATTATTATTATTTATTACTCACATATCATGGCGACGTAACTATAGGGTGGTTTTTCTTGTGATTTTTCACACGTTGATGGAATGGTTGAAGTTGTCGTAGGAGATGAAACTCTTGTATGTATATCACAAGGAGATTTCGAAGAGGGTGTTGGTGTTTTGCAAACACCCGATGCTGCTGCTGTCGTTGTTGTTGTTGTTGTTGTTGTTGCACTCGTCGAATCCGATTGATTGTTCGAACTTGAAATAAATGGATGGTAAAAGTATATTTAAGGGTTAACAGGTTTTTTTTTTTTTTTTTTTTTTAATAAGGAATGTTATTACTCGTGGTACCATCCATTTAGAACGTGGCCCACTCTAGAGTGCTAAATACACACACACACACACACCGTGTTTGTTCCACTTTAACCAAAGGTAGAATGCAATTTGTGCAATATTTTCATTAAAGGCTTTGTTCGCGTGTTTGTTGTTGTTGTTGTTGTTGTTCTACTTACCCAGAATGTTCGTCGAGGGGTGTTAAATTAATAGATGTCTCATCATTGTTGCCTGATATGAGTTGGTCAAGGTGCATTTGATTTCTTAATACGTCCGTTATAACATTCGTTCCATTATTTTGTCCAAGTTCGTCTTTAAGGGTGAGAATGGTTGAATTTATTTCTGGATAAACTATAATAAAATAAATAAAATAAACCAATTTAATTTTATTATTCATACATAGAACGTTTTAAATAAAAATAAAAAACGACAATAGGAAAATTAAATAACAATAATAATAATTGCGATATTGACAAAAAAAAAAAAAAAATCAAAATGGAGAAGAGGCTTTTTCATCGACCTTGGGGTAAATAAAAACAATGTCGCCGGTTTTTTTTTTTTTTTGTAACAAAAGTAAAAAAAAAACTTATTTATTAACAAAATATTATTATTAAATTTTTTTTTTTAGAATAATGTCGACTGTGTTGATGGTAAAAACAGGCTACGACATAGTCTAAACTTCCTTCTTTCAAGGAAGGAGTTCTACATTGAAAAATAGGCTGTCCTAGAACCTGGCATAAATTCAAGGTACTGTCAGTGTTGCCTACTACCGAGACCCCCCCACCACCACCACACTTTAATAATGGAGAAACGATGAGATTTCTATAGAAAAAAATTTTTTTTTAGTAAATAGGTCAGTCGATATCATTTATTTATTTATTTAAAAATCGTCTTTTATGCAGAATGCGTGCACGTGCACGTGTGCGTGCGCGTGTGCGTGCGGGTGCGTGTGTGCGTATCACACTTTTTAATATTTTTATCCGCATTGATTTTCAATCAATTAGAAAACCGTTACTTTTTTTCTATTCCGAGAACCTGTGATTTTT